ATTAAGAAACCTAAGTGGTGGATTTTGATCATGGGACATCTCAATGAGGGACGTTTAAAAGAGTACGCTAGCAGTATTTCACGATTTAAATTATCTTTTTTTTTTTTTCATATCTTTACATTTTGAGGGTGAGATGATTAATTAGAGGGTTTTCCACCATAAAAAAAAACTCTTCTAGCATTTTGAGGGTGAGATGATTAATTAGAGGGTTTTCCACCATAAAAAAAAACTCTTCTAGAGGATTTTCGAGGTGCACCTTGCTTCAATATTGTAGAATTGACACCTCATTATCAACTTTTTCCTTCCCTTAAGTAAAACGCAAACATGACTGATTTTTTTTATATGATGTCTTTAGACATATATTCTATGGAGAGTACGAAAACTTTGGACCAAGTGCGGATACCAGCAGGCGCGTAAACTGGATGGTTCATCTCAATCAATCTCAAAACACTTTGTTTACTGCGATAGACTTCATTGATAACGAAGGATGGCTCACAAGACAACCAAGTGGTACCAATTTTGTTGTTTGATATGCAATCATGTCTAAGTTTTTTAGACGTTAAATTCAAACGCATAATTTGGATCCATGACGATCCAAAGAAGAAAATAAATGAATATCTCGTATATCCTGAGTTTTATTTATAAAAGATCAAAAGAACTCTCCATTTCTTAACTAGCTTGGTTACTAAGGTAACCATGCTCAAGCTGAGTGACTATCTCGGTAAGAACTAGACACAAAAAAGAAAATATTTTATCCTCCCTCAAAAGCATACCGTCCATTTAATCCCTCTCGTAAAATCAGATATAACGACTTCAACATAGTGACTAACTTCAAAAAAAAAAAGAAAAAGAAGGAGGTTTCCAAGATTTAACCATGACCATCCAATTTTTGGAGGCAAGTTTTGAAGAACTCAAAAACCCACTTTTGTAAAACTAATCATCTAGTGATTATTAGGTAAGTTCCACAATTTTAGATAGAAAAATCCTCCTAAGTAGGTCTATTGCTCCAAGGGAATAAGTACATACTATGCTCACACACTGGAGCATTGTTTGTGTGTGTGAAAGCTTTTTGAAGTAGTTGACATCTTCCTCGTAGAATGCTACCATTTGATGTAAGATTTAGAGAAATGAATAAGAATTTTGAAATATTAGAACATACATGAAAAGTGGGGTCCTTGGATTGCAGCAATCCCATGACAGAATCATTATAGAGGGAAACTCAAAATGCAATTTTGTGGTCTAGAGATTTGTAGAAACGGCTTTCGGCTTGGCGATCAATTTCGG